ATTAAATCCAAATTAAATATAAATAAGATATTGAATTGAAGAAATTTCACAAAAAACCAGAATTTTAAATAGTAAATTTGATAGTAATATCAATATTTTATTTCCAAATTTTTATGATATATTTAAATTTATATTTTATTTAAAAATAAAAACAGTACCGCTTTCTCAAAACTACTAAAAACAGTATTATATCGACATAAATACACAATAAAACGAAACATTAAAATTAAGATATATCTCGATATATTATGCGAGCATCCTTCTAATTCCATAAAATAAATATACATGATTATATCATAGAAATTGCATTTATATAATCCATGTATCTGAGATGTAGTTTGGTTGGTAAAAAAGTAAGCTGACTTTGTCTAAATACAAGATAAGTCTCATATTTAATTCTAGACTCACCCATTAGTCTCAACTGTTGAATGAATCAGAAAATGTTCATTCACATTGTTTTCTTGGAAGCGGGTTCCAGATAGGACCGATTAAAGTTACTGATAATCAATTCTTTTCTCAAATATTCATATAAGCTATTAAATACTTATAAATGAATTTGGTAATATGAATATTTTTAATAACTGAGAGTAAATAAAAAATCACTGTAACAAGATAGACGTACTATCGATGGTAAAAAAGGCAATTAACTGTTTTGACAATTAGGAATACGAATTGGGTCAAGGCTTGAGTCAAGGGACCAATCTATAATAGGTTAAGGGGTCGTTTGATTGTTTTTTCATTAAGTCATGTATTGATAAAGTTGATTTTAAGCATGAAGTTGTTTGTATGTATTAATAAAATTGTTTTTTTTTGTTGTGCTGAATAAACTGTCTGAACGATAGAAATGACCATTTTCTCATTCTATTTGTTTTTTGTTTTGTTGATCTTCACACACACGCAATTGCATTACAGCTAAAAAACCAAAACAAAATTCATTAAGATCTACAAACGTTAGAATTTGAACACAAATCCAAAAAAAAAATCTCAAGAACATCAAGAAAATGAATCCTTAGATCAAATACAAACATGAAAATTGTGATTAAAAACCTCAATCGGACATCCAAATACAAAATCAATATCTTAGAACATCAAATCCCTAAAATCAAAACACAAGGGTAGTGTCTGATTGGTTTGAGCTTAGCTCCAAAGATCAAAAGTACCTGGAGGTCCCAGGTTCAAATCCAAGGAGGAATAAAAATCCCCTTGTGGCCACAGAGGTTCAAATGTGGTAACTCAGGGCTATCTGCAAAGCAGGTGGTCGTCCTTGGATTAGTCGGCTCGCATAACGGGTTGGATATCCAGGTTAATAAAAAAAATCCCTAAAACCAAAACCAAAATATAATTCTCAAACTAGAAAATAAAATATAAAAAATCAAACATTATCTTCACCGACTGTGAAAAATCTTTCAAATAAAATATAATATTATGAAACATTTAAGCACCAAAATCAATATATTGAAACCCTTGATTTGCAACGTGAAGAGGGATTGAGCGGCAACAACAACAAATATTTTTCAACCCAGGACGGGGCCAGCAATAGGGATGAGGGATAGAGCAGCGACGTAGAGGAGCAAGAAAGCAACGGGGAGTTGGATGAGATAGGCTCCAATAGACGAGGTGTGAGCGATTCTCTCCAGAAGACGAGGGAAGCGATGGAGGCGTGAGAGGCGAGAGAGACTTTATAGGATCTGTGTATTTGGATAAGGGTATGGTTGGAAATGTTATGTCTGTATGGACTAAGCATACCCTTAGAAGCTGAGCAAATAAGCTTCTCCCTAAATTATTAAGCCGCTTCCAAACACGTCCAGATGGCTAACCAAATAAGTTAGATCCCTCATTAAGCCCAATAAGCCCCTTCCAAACAAGCCCTAAGGCTCAACCAGTCGTAGTATATTAATACAACTTAATCTTTCAAGCCACCTTCGAGTTCATACTTTCAATGTGTTTAACTCAAACTTCTATATTTATATACGAGAATAAGAAAAAGAAAATGTTGAATGCTTAAAACGTATTTAAACTCGACACTCGTAACCAGACTTTTGGATTCTTTTATAGGCATGGAACTCACTTCAGATTTTGTCGTTTCAGTTATGTGGGACATGTTTTTTAGCCAAAATTTCTCAAGAGACCATAACTTTTAATATATTCGTGATTTGTATTTGATAGGTCATAACATACTCTTGAAATTTAAAAGGTTTTTGCTTAAATGTTC